GAAGGTTTTCCACAAGAATTTACGTGAGTTTGATGTCGCAAAATCAAATGAAAGTATGAACGCCATAAAAACTAAGATGAGGACAAATATGTTAGGCACGAGCAATAGTTTTTCCTTGGGGGAATGTTTCACGTTAGTTAATGGCTCGACTAGAGATATCAGCAGAAAAATTAACGTCGTGCTCCGCAATTATCAGGCCGAAGATCTAATGATTTGGTCAGAAAAAAATGGCAAACAGCCACAAACGAGAAATGAACAAATTAATTCTAACTGTCAATTTTCATATAATTCAGTCTAGAGGGTCTTTCGTCATTAAATATTTTCTACGAATAATAAATATCCGACTTTATTGAAAAATGATCGAATCAAGCCATCTATAAAGTTACCTAAAAAATGATCGATATGTAAATAATGACTGTCAGTATTTAACTATACTGTTGACAATTCTCGACCAAACTTTCAGGTACGCTTCTTAGAAATTTCAATCGGGTGAAAGTTCTACTGAAACTTCGAGATATTTGATTATTAAAAATCGACAATTTGACAAAAAAAAACAATGGAAACTGTTAATTCCAGTGGAATTAACAAAAATTTCCAATTTATTTATAGAAACCGGCGGCATAGCGAGTGAGTAAGAGGGTTGCCTCACATGCGAGAGGTTTCGGGTTCGATTCCTGGTCGGGTAGAATGGTGATCTAACCATCCAAAATCTGGTTCAAGCGGTCGCTACAATAGATGTTGATAGATTTAGGTGGCGTAGGGTAGATAGGGGAAGTCATGGCGTTACGTACGCCCAACCGCCTTACTCTAGACTGCCTCCTTGGCCTTATTTTTACAATGAAACCGGTCATAAGTTATACTCCAATAAGTTATAACCTGTGATAAGTTATACTAAATCACCTCAGATAAGTTATATTGCAACTCCCACCACAAGCCCATCTCACGCATGCGCTGAAATGATTGAAGGTAGTTGCGCATGCTCCACCATGGGTGAGTATTCCTGCTGTGTTAGTTTCACGTAGAGCGGGAAAAACTGGTATATGACATTATTAGTTCAGTTCATGTCCAATAATTGAAAAAAAAAACATAATACAATGTCTGAAGTAAAAAAATGTCGTTCGCTTTGGAGTGAGAAGATAACAATTGTCCAAAGATTTGATAATGGAGAGAAAGAGGTTACGTTGGCATTTGAATACGGAGTCTCTCAGCAATTGCCGCGCGGATCTGATTGGTCACCCCTACTTTGCTTGAAGCTCGGGGAAGCGAGCGACACAGTGATGGTGGGGATATAACTTATTCGAGGTTCGAATGCCATTGCGTATAACTTATTATTATGATAGGTTCGACTGTATTTATAGAAAATCAGGAAAATTCAGCTAAATATGTATATACTTTAATTTTCAATTAATTGAACTTCATGTTAGTTCAGTACTGAATTTTCGTATTTTCATTAAAAATTAGAGTAAGTTATGGAGTTATCGTTTTTTACGCTCAAAAATTTAGAAATTTATTGAATTTTCAGTGGAATTTGAGATTTCATGATTTTTGCTTCTCTACGTCAAATTTAATGCGCCTCTCCTGAAAATTAGTGCTAAACTTCTCTATGAAATCCGAATTTCTTCACAAAAGTGTGTATAGATAATTGTTGGTAATTTTTTCTCGTGTCGGCTACAGTCTAACAATGACGGTCATTTTACATGTAGAATAGACTGCCGTAATAAAACTATTATAACCGGTCAATTTGACCTAACCTGACCAAAACGAAAATCAACGGTCATCCCAAATCTCCAAAATCGACTGGTTCGGTTTTTTCAATAGTGAAAATTGCACCTATCACGGCATTCCCGGATTCCCCGGTTCTTTATTGTCAGGAATTTCCTCGCAAACATCAGCGAACAAGGGGTTCTAGCCCCAAGAAGTCGACGAGGAGAGGGAAGTTGAACTGATAGTGAGGCGTGGGAGATGTTATGTCGCTCGAAAACGTGTGCCGCATGAGAGAAACAGAGTAATGTGATTTTTGAGGAAAAGAGGAGAGGGAAATTGCGGCTGAGATACGCATTGGACACGGACTTGGGATGTCGGTCGAGTGGATGGGAATAAACGTAGATATACATTCAGTTGGGTCTCTCTACCGATGATTTCAGACACTTAGCTCGTCGAGACTGGGAGAGGTTTTCCACCGGAGTTTTAATTCACGTCACTCGTCACTCGCTAGTTTAGTCACCCGGCAAAACTCGTCCCGTTTCACCTCATTCTCTCCCAGTTTTTACCCGCATTTTTCTAGTCACTTTTTTAAGTTTCTCAAATTAGCAATTAGATTACTTTTTTGTAAGTGATAAAATGAAAATTGGCGTTTAGAAAAGTGGCTTATTCAGAGTTTTATTTTATTGGACTGTGGAAGTTTGTAAATTCTTCGATCGTAGTGTTATAATTGGAAGGATTTCACCGCGTGTTATTGATTTTTAGATTGTTGGGTGTAATATTGAATAGATACGACTATTTTCCGGTTATTAGGAACAAGCTATTTATAGTATCGTGGAATTTGTGAGTACGGGTGGGCATTGTAATACGAGAGTGTCGTGAGGCATACGACAGTGGACATTCTGTCACGTGTGATTCGACAATTTCGTGGTAATGACGAACTAGTCTCTCTCTCGACACACCCAGAAATTTTCTTGAGTTTTCCCATTATTTCATGTTATTATTCATGCGAAAATTATGAAACTACAAATATTCATTCATCATCTATCATGCCAGAATCGGAGGTCAGGGTCACACGTGTATCCGTCTAATGCCACCCACACTCGGTCAATTATTTTCTATATCCTCGAGTTTTCCCAGAGAATCAATACATAAATCACTTAAACCAGTGAAAGAATCAGATATTTCTTCGATTCTATGCAAGACTTTTCTTCACCTCTTCAATGAATTTCCAGAAAAAGCATTATGAATGGTGAAACATGACGCAAATGAACATGTACGATAGTTGAAAGGTCAGCAGAAAAAACGTTTCGATGAAAATCCATTGACACGTCCTGTCGAGTTCTCAGTCCCCATTCTGTTGAACTATAATGTGCATTCAATATTCATGGAACTAACGCTGATTCTCCTTCTATCAATAAAACCAAAGGTGGAAACTGGAGGTATGCGTCATAATGTGTCAGATTAACTGAACACTTGACTAACAAAACTCCTCATTCTGACGTCAAATGTGAATCACGTGATTTTTAACATTGAGGGAGAATTGAGTGTAGAAAAATTGTGGTAAATGAGGAACGAAGGGCGATAAGAAAATTTTATCTCGACACGTAATTGTGCGGATTTCCAGCAATAGTTGAGGCTCCGGTCCCTCTTGACCCAGAGAACACTTTTTTTTAGTTCACGCCCGCTCAACCAGAGGGCAATGGAGATAGCTCATGCGTATTGAAAGTGTTGTCCATGGCCCTGACATTTTTTTTACTCCTCTTTTTGTTTCTTGGACTCTCAAACAAATACAATTTGGTGTCACTGTATTGAAGTGGTGTGTATTGTCAATTAGTTTCTATACTCAAACACTACTACAATCTGTCATCGAATTGCCTGTGATATGATAAAAAATACTGCCCACAATCATTCGTCTACACTACAGTGCGTGCATTCAGGGGTTACGAACTCTGATCCCTCTCATTTTCATCTAATTTTTTTCCCTCCCACCGGTTGGGAAAAACATGGAAAAAAAATTCGTAACAATGAGAAAATGTTGTTGAATCGATTCACCAGTGTCAATAAATGAACATTCGTGGAATCTGTTGGATATCAACAGTTGTTTAATTTTTTTCAAGTACCAAAAGGTATTATGGAAATAATAGATTTGTATTGACTCAGACGGAAACGATTCCCGCAATATCATTCATCGTGCATTGAACTTGTTATTATCCCTCCTCTTTTGAAGGTATTTTTTTGTTCGCTTTAATCCGTTCCAGTGGAATTGATTCCTTCGTTGGTTATATTTTTTTTAGCGTTATTAACAATCGAATCGAGTACGTAGTTTGTTATTACCCAGGTGATTAGTTTCGAGGAGTTGATACCAAACATAACCTCTGTCAGTTCAACATATGTGGTGAATAACGGTCATGCCGGCTGTTAGCTGCCAGGTGAATTTAATGACGGCAGTGGATATTTGTCCTACTCCTATCGATTAATTAATAAAATCTGTTTTTACTTGCTTCGGTTGTATTGAACGTATTCCTTGTTGTTTATTGACAACTGGAGGATTTTCATGGTGTACGAGTGCTCTTGTGTGTGTTTTGTAGGCTCGTAAATGTCTCAGAGATAAATAAATACTATCGGGTTTTATGTAAAAGGAGTGAAAGATTGGACTGGATCCTCAAGAATTCCTGGAATTTTTAAATGCAAAAGAATTCCACGAGCAGAAAATATTACAGTGAAAATTCAGGGAAAAGGAGAGGAGATAATCAGTCCCATGAATGCATGGTATTTATTATCATCTTTATGGGGACACTTTGGACTTTAAATATCATTATATTTGAATTATCAACGTAATAAGTGAAATATCATGGATGAATTGAGGTTTTAATTCCATGATTGAAAGTGATTTTGCAATTTTTAAGGACCTCTAGTATAGAGTGTGTAAATTATGCAGTTCCCGCGTGGAGCGAAGATTTCTGGAAAAATTGAGGGGAAAGGGGGAAGGATTTTCAATTAATCAATGTATGAAATTTACGATCATCTTTATGGGGACACTTCAGAGTTTAGATATCATTACATTTGAATTATCAACGTAATAAGTAAAATACCACGAATGAGTTGAGGGTTTAGTTCCATAATTCATGGTGATTCTTCAATTGTTAAGGCTCTCCAGAATAGAATATATGAATTATGGAGTTAACTCGGAACTCAACGTTCCCCAGGAAACCTCTATTATTCAGTATTATTAGAGGTAGAATTAATATTTAAGAGAGCCGGCAGGGTATAAAGACAAAGTAATGCATTTGTTCCAGCTGGTGGACCTCCGATCTCTCGGAGCTCAAGGGAGTACGAGGAGAGTAGCCTGGAGGGGCAACTTTAGAGCCAGTTAAGTTTGAGTTGGCCTAGGCCAACCACAAAAGACGAGTGAGGATGGCGACGATAGACGGCCGGCCGGCCCAATATGGTATCACTCTCAAACAGCTACGAGAGCTTATGGAACATCGAGGGCGAGAGGGAGTAGGTAAAATCAGTGGTTATGGTGGTGTACAGGAAATATGCAAAAAATTGTATACCTCACCCAGCGATGGTAAGTCAATGATATTTTAACAGACTCTTTAGGATGTCGAAATTGAATTTTAGGGTTTACCCAAGATCGGTTGAACTATTCAGAAAATTATTATTTTATCTGTTCCTCTTTCTCATTTAATGATGCGCAGACACAAGTTTATAGTTTCCTGTGAAAAAAACTCAAATTTATAATTTTATCGTGATATAATGTAAGGAGGAAAAAATCTTGGAATTATGAAAGTCGAACGAAATTATTCTGATTCTCAGTAATCTTCGCCTGGATCAAGCATAATTGTACTTGAATTAAGAACATTCTCGTTCTGGAATTAATGTAGTTTATGATTCCTTTGTCATTAAAAGTATATTAGCACTTTGACATTGACACTTTGACATTGATTTATGTTGAATTAATGTTCAATTAATCTTTAATTTTGTCGCTTTCTCAATTTTGAAATACAAATGTTCTCCTTTCCAGAACAGTTATCCCTTAGCATTATGATTTTTGAAATTGTGATTTTGTGCGTCCTTCTTTCTCAATTGATGATGCACTAAGTCTCCAGCATTATTTTGAATAGATTTTCTTCGAAAATCGAACAAACCAGTTCTAATTCTTTGTAATTTTCACTTGAATCTAGCATAATTGTACTTGATTTGAGCGCATTGCCATTCTGGAATTGATGCAATTTATAATCCCATCTTGATATAGTTCAAAATTCCTTTGTTATAAATAGTATGTCACCTGGCGCATTGACACAATTTATACTGAATTAATATTTCACAAGTTTCAACTTTGACGTTTTCACATGTTCTCACTTTAGAAACGAAAATTCTAAGTAAATTCTCTTATTTTAAGAACACTTTTCACTCAAAATATATCAGGTTTTCGTACTCAATTTCAGAGATTTCTCCTCTGAAATTTAGTAAATAATTTCTTATTTTAAAGACGATGCATGTCAGAGAACCATGAGTTTCTCCAAATCAGTAATTTTGTTTCCAAAGCTAGAAAATTTTTCTCTCTGAATATTCAATTTCAAAAATTTTTGTCGTACTTTTTCATAGTGTTGACACAAAATGAAAGCGATCCAAAGATTTCCTCGGAAAGTGACCAATCTAGGGTCAATTTCAGTTTCTATTCATATTTTCTCATTGTCTATCACGTTTTCTCTTACGTTCAAGGCCTCAGTGGGTCATCAGCGGATATGCAGCACAGGCGAGACACATTTGGCTCCAACATGATACCTCCAAAACCACCAAAAACGTTTTTACAATTAGTGTGGGAAGCCCTACAAGATGTTACTTTGATTATTCTTGAGATAGCTGCATTGGTTTCATTAGGACTTAGTTTCTATCATCCTGTAGACGATCCATCTGACGGTATGTATATCATTTGTCAAACTAGTCTCAACAGTTAATTCGAATTAGGGGATAAAAGTCATACCTCATGTTTTTGGAGATTTCTATTTGCTCTTTGGTATATTCCAAACAATTAAGAATGTTTATCAAAAATCGCAAGTATTTTAAGATTTTTTTTCTCCAACTGATGAACAGAGTTTTCTTCTTCGTGGTGATAAAAATTTAATAAAATAATAAAATATAAAATATACACCGAATGTAGGCGTTAGCATGAATTCATATGGGCATTAAAGTTTCGAATATCTGCATTGTTTCTCCAGCTGAGAATTTTTTTATTGGCTATTGGATTCAGCACATTTCTTCATGTTACCCTCTATTTTTATTATTATTTTTTGACTCTCTCAGTAGGTAAATTAGCATTGTGGAAATTAACCTTAATAAAATTACTTCCATGGGAGATTAATCCCATAAGAGCCCATGCGTAAGAAAAAAATTGTTCATTTCATTTTGTTAAAGTGACTGCAAGTAATTTTTCTTAAGTATCAGAAATGTTGGTTTCGTATGTTCCCTCATCAGTCTCCAAAGATGACAGCATTTCTGTTTTTCCTCGGCCATTGGGTTTAGGATGTTTTTTCATATTGTCCTTAACTCTCATTTTTATTTTTAGAATTTTCTAATAGGTAAATCATCAATTTGAAAATACATTCCATAAGAGCCTGTGTACAAGAAGAAAATTTGTCATGTCATTTCATCAAAGCTATTGCAATCAATTTTTCCCTCGATTAGTCTAAAAAATGACAGCATTTTCCTAGAACATGGAAAAAGAAGACTTCGGAAAATGGATAAACATCCTTAAATATACCAAAATTTGAAAGTGGTCTTCAATGGTTAAATCTACCTGAAATAGACCCGATTATTTCAGTTGTCGACGTAAAAATACACGAGGATGAAGCAAAGTACGGGTGGATCGAGGGTCTTGCGATCCTCATCTCTGTTATTGTCGTTGTATTAGTGACAGCTTTTAATGATTACTCGAAAGAAAGACAATTTCGAGGCCTCCAAAATAGGATAGAGGGAGAGCACAAGTTTGCTGTCATACGACAGGGAGAAGTCAAGCAGATTTCTGTATCTGACATTGTTGTGGGTGACATTTGTCAGGTATGTCGTGAATTCTCAATGGTTTACATATTTCATCGTGTTATCCTCATGGACAGTTGTGCTAATAGATGATTTTTAATGACTTTTTTTCTAGATTAAATACGGTGACTTGTTACCTGCTGATGGAATCCTGATACAGAGCAACGATCTCAAAGTCGATGAGTCTAGTTTAACGGGTGAATCGGACCATGTGAAGAAGGGGGAGGCTTTTGATCCTATGGTGCTATCTGGTGCGTTAATGTTTTTATGCATTAGATTTGGCCACGCGTATCATTTGTCGTGGTTTCCAGATAATACTATTTTTTCACAAATTCAGTTTTCGATGAATGTCAAGTTTACATTTACCTAAAAAACTTGTCAAATTAATGCAAATTATTGGATTTTTCAAATAAAAATTTGAATAATCCTTCACTGATTACAATTTATTTCTAGGTACACACGTGATGGAAGGCTCCGGCAAGATGCTAGTAACTGCTGTAGGTGTGAATTCCCAAGCAGGTATCATCTTTACACTTCTGGGCGCTGCTGTAGATCAACAAGAAGCAGAAATCAAGAAAATGAAGAAAGGTATGCAATTTCTCCCTGAAATGTCATCAATCTTAATCAGGTTTGCCAATATTTGCCCGCTACTTCTCACGAATGCTCTCCAGTTCCTCAACCGTCTGCAGTTCCAACTTTTGTTTTTATTCTGGGAACACCGTGGTGAAAAACTCTCTCTCTCTCTATCTATGCATTCATGGAAGAACAAATTCTTTCTAGTTCTCTGCCATGAGGAGTAGCGGGTATTGCAGTTCGATGGCATGATATTACAGAATATATACATGAGCCAAGTGTGGAATCCCCACTGACGGAAGCATGAATTTTTGAAAATTTTATGTGACTTTTTTTTATGTAACTCACAAATTATCCCCTCCCCGCTCCCCATTTGAATTACTTTAGTTACTGTAGCATGCACTTGCATCACTCGATAGTGATTTTCCGTGCCTGATGTTTATTTTTCAAATGCTCTAGAGTACATTCCAAAATAATCCTGAAAGTTGTCTCACAGTTTTAGAGTCACATTAGCAGTTCTGTCATTAGATGTTTCATTAGTTTTCACTGACAAGTAATGATAAAGTTTGTCACTTATGAGTCTCTTTGTCTGGTCTTCGTCGATATCATCCATGCAATAAAATATATATACCAGCACACTGATAATTCTCACATCACAGTCAAACGTCCGGGGGAATTATTTTAAAGCGGAAATTAATAATCAAATGTCGATTATTCACGTAACTCAATTATTCTATCCGGTGTTGTAAGTATTTTTCATTAGATAAATACGAACGGTGTATTTTTGTACCAATTATCTAGACCCTCTCCCAAAAGAACCCAGAAGTATACAGTCTGTAAGTATCAATTATTTCGAGTCAATAAGTATTTTCTTCCCCATTAGGAAATTATAAAACTTTGATACCTTCAGGCTGTCCATTGAAATTAGTCCACTGTACATGTACGGCAAATTAATCCAAGCTATTTCAAAAGCTGTGGAGTCAAATAGTGGCGAGTAACAAGAATAATAATATTTTTTAAAAACCACAAATGTTTGAAGACGACCAAACGTTGATTATCAACATTGTTTTAGGAACGTTGCTAATAAATTTTCTTGTTTTTGCATGCGTTTTTTTATCTAGAGGCTAAAAAGCAGCGGAAGAAGAAGTCTCTCTCAGGTGATTAAAAACTTCATCATATTTTTTTATTATATGGGAAAAAAAATCAAAATTTCTAAAGAAAATTTGACAAAATTCTTCTTACGTCACCTTTCTTATTTTACCAACGTTTTTTATCCACGTGGAACGTTCTATTGTACATGTATTTATTGTTCTTAAAACTTAAATTCCCTGGAAATGCTCTTGCTAAATAACAATCCAAAACGATAACAAGCTTCTCGACTTTTTCCAACGTTCTCAACATGTTCTCTCTCAGTGTATTAAAATGGGTACAACTTTATTAACTACAACTTGCACTAAACCAATTATGCAAATGTATCAGCAATAATAACATACTATTCATTCATATCATCCCAACACTTTCAAATCACTCGTTTAAATGTTTCCATCACATCTCTATCTGTGATAATCCCCACCATACATTCTACCATTTTAATGTTTCATGAATTATTGAATTCTTGCACAAGGAATCAAATATGAAGAACTTACTTTTCTTACAGAAGATCTTTATTACCTGTCCAATGCATTTGATGATTGACTTCCTTGTTTGCAAAATAGATTGACAACGTATATCCATAGTTGAACATCTTTAAACTTGTCTTCTAACGCTGTTTTTACTTTTAATCAATTTTTTAATCTTTCCCAACCTAGTTGACAAAGAGAGATGAATACTTACTTACCTAAATCGATGACATTTCCAGTCTTGTGTTATACGCGCTTAACAATTATTAGTCCATTCACAACTCAGTACTAATCCACCTTGCTCGATTATATTAAAAACTCTCAAGGTTTCTAGAATTAAAATTCACCCTCCCTTAAACCACTGATTTGATTTCTACCTAAATATATCCTCGAGGAGTATTGATCTTTACTTCTGGAAACATTGAATTACACATCAATCATAAATAAGGTCAAGAGATTAATAGAAAAAACAATCCTATTCCAATGTGACAAAATAAGGTGAGGAAGCCGGAGAAATAACGGGAAATAGCCACGGAGGCAGTGGTGGTGCACGTCCACACGATTCCGGTGAAAATCATCATGCACCGAGTGGAGGTGGTGGTGGTGAAGCAGCTGCTGAGGCTGGTAAAAAGGAGAAGAGTGTACTTCAGGCTAAATTAACGAAACTCGCTATTCAAATTGGTTACGCTGGCTCAACGATAGCTGTACTCACAGTCATTATTCTAGTCATACAATTCTGCGTGAACACATTTGTCATTCATCACAAGCCATGGAAAAGAACGTACGCCGGTAATCTCGTTCGACACTTGATCATTGGTGTTACTGTACTTGTGGTAGCTGTACCGGAAGGTCTTCCTCTAGCTGTTACGCTGTCTCTCGCCTATTCGGTCAAGGTTATTATCTTTATTGTCTCTAGTTTGTCACAACTAGAACATTTTAAGGGGAAGTTCACCCTGGAAAAAAAAAATTTACCATCTTTCGAGGAGAAATTTCTAAAAGTACTATTTCTCGCACTATTTTTCCTCAGAATTATGAAAAATTGGGGAGAAGATGCATTTTGAAATTCAGTTGTCATTAAAAAAAACTCATTATTTTCAATGCGTCTATTTTAATCTCAAAAATTTCCTACGAATATCAATTTTGATAAGTGAATTTCTACAAAATAATTGAAAATTGATGGAAAAGTACAGAGAAATTAACGATAATTTTTACAAGATTGATTGCATGATGAGATGGTACAGTACATATCTAATATTTAAACGGAAGAAATTATTTTTAGGTAATAGAAATTTTGTTAAACGAATAAATTTCAAAGTGCTGCAAATACTCAAAAAAATATTTCAAAAATTTATACTTTTAGGATTTTTGGTTACAAAAAATATAGAAGCGGATTTCTAGGGAATAAGTACTCGAAAAAAATTTTCCTCAAAAAAAAATGAAAAAGTGATTTTCTCGAGGTGAATTTCCCCTGGATCCAACATATATTAATTCGTGTCAATTTGTTTTTCATTGCATTCTCACAGAAAATGATGAAGGACAACAATTTGGTGCGTCATCTTGACGCCTGTGAGACAATGGGCAATGCAACGGCAATCTGCTCAGACAAGACTGGTACACTGACGACCAATCGTATGACAGTTGTTCAGTCGTATGTGTGTGAAAAAATGAGCAAAACGATATCATCGTTCAGTGAAATACCCAATCATGTGGGCAACTTACTCATTCATGCGATATCGATAAATTCGGCGTACACGTCCAGAATAATGCCATCGCAGGATCCATCCGAGCTTGCAATGCAGGTCGGTAACAAAACCGAATGTGCCTTACTTGGATTTGTATTGGCCCTGGGCCAGAATTATCAAACGATACGAGACGACCAACCCGAGGAGACATTCACGCGGGTGTATACTTTCAACAGTGTTAGAAAAAGTATGTCCACTGTTATACCGAGACCGGGCGGTGGCTACAGGCTCTTCACCAAGGGTGCTTCCGAGATCATCATGAAGAAGTGAGTTTACTATTTTTAATTTCCAGATTTCATCATATCGCCGTGTTTTATGGTACTTAAAATCATCTTATGACATTTTTGGAAAGACGTCCGTGTGAATGATGAAAATTTTGGCCCACAATTTTCTTTTTTTTTCTTTTTTTCTATCTCTTATACACTTATATTATATTATATTGCAATTTATTAATTTTTTTCTTTTTTTTTTTTGTAAATAGTCGCTAATGACCACGTTGTCAATACGATTAGAAATAAATTAATAAGAAAAAAAAATTGGCCCACGATCTCTAAAACGAACGATTTCCTTTGAAATTGATCTGTGGGCAATTGAGAACTTGCATGAAGCTGAATTCTTTCCAATTCCCCTATTCTCACATTCCTCGTAACATGTGGATAGCTAAACGGAGAAAATTATGGAGAAATATTTCCCAGACGTCTTATGATAATTAATTGAAAAGCAGTCGGTTTCGAGGCCAATTTCTCGGTCATGACGTCAAGAAGACGGTCAGGTAACGCTTTATTGGTCGAAAAAAAAAGAGAGGGGGAAGTTGTCGTCCTCCATTGGCCGAGGCCGATCTCAAGATTGGGTTAGGTTGGCCGAGCCATTCTGTGATTTGTCCAGCGCTCGACCGTCTATGTGACGTCATTAGCGATTTCAAAGCGTTAGAAATCTTCAACTTTTAACAACTAATTGTTAACTGATGAGCAATATCTCAAACGTTTTGTAAATGAAAAATTAATTATTCAGGTCCGGAACGTGATTAGAAAATTGAAAAAAAATTCATGCAAGTCCCCTATTGATGCGTTTTTACAGCACTCAAACCTGATTGGATTGTGATTATGATTGTCTCCGAGATTTTTAAGTTTTCGCAAAAAATATGTGAAAAAGCGACAATTTTTCAAAAGTCAAACGGGTTTTTTTCGAAAAAATGATGGGATTGAATTTTATTTATAGTCAATGCATTCCGATGAAACTTGAGCCTTACTGAATTTTGATGAAAAACACAGTCGTCTCTGCGGTTGTTCAGTTATTCGGATAAAACTTTCATGATTTGTGAGTTTTTTCTTCCTAATAAATGGAAACAAAACGGAATTTATTGGTTCCACCCTTAATAGATCACACCCATCCTATCCGTGAGCGAGCGCAGCCAGCGAGTGGCCTCTGATTTTCTAGTTTTAGAGCAATCACGAAAGGTTTAATTAATTTATTTTTTTCCTTCCAGATGTGCCTTTATTTATGGTCGCGATGGACATCTGGAGAAGTTTACCAGAGATATGCAGGATCGCCTGGTTAAGAACGTGATTGAACCCATGGCATGCGATGGACTACGTACAATCTCCATAGCATATCGTGACTTTGTTCCTGGTAAAGCAGAAATCAATCAAGTACACTGCGAGGGTGAACCGAACTGGGAGGACGAGGAAAACATTGTTTGCAATTTAACCTGTCTCGGTATCGTAGGTATCGAGGATCCAGTAAGACCCGAGGTACCAGAGGCAATAAGAAAATGCCAGAAGGCTGGTATAACAGTGAGAATGGTCACTGGTGATAACATCAATACAGCAAGATCAATTGCCTTCAAGTGTGGTATTCTAAAGCCCACCGATGATTTCCTCATTCTCGAGGGTAAAGAATTCAATAGGAGAATCAGGGATGCACATGGCGAGGTTCAGCAACAATTGTTGGACAAAGTATGGCCAAAATTGAGGGTACTGGCAAGATCATCACCAACTGACAAGTACACACTCGTCAAGGGTATTATTGATAGTAAAGCAACAGCAAGTCGTGAAGTTGTTGCCGTAACTGGGGATGGTACGAATGATGGTCCAGCGTTGAAGAAGGCTGACGTTGGTTTTGCCATGGGTATTGCTGGCACTGATGTCGCTAAAGAAGCTTCCGATATTATTCTTACCGATGATAACTTCTCATCAATTGTAAAGGCTGTTATGTGGGGAAGAAATGTATACGACAGTATAGCCAAATTTTTACAGTTCCAATTGACTGTGAATATTGTTGCTGTTATTGTGGCATTTATTGGTGCATGCGCTGTACAAGACTCACCACTCAAAGCGGTACAAATGTTGTGGGTCAATTTGATTATGGATACATTAGCCTCACTTGCACTGGCTACGGAATTACCAACACCAGATCTACTACTTCGTAAGCCATATGGACGCACGAAACCACTTATATCAAGGACTATGATGAAGAACATCCTGGGTCAAGGGATTTATCAGTTGGCCGTTATTTTTACGCTTCTCTTTGCGGGTGAGTGATGATGAATTTGTTTTTAATTGAATTATTATAATCTCATACTTATTCGATATTTTTTCTCCCTTACAGGACACAAAATTTTTGACATTGACAGTGGTCACGCTGGTCACAGTGGCCATACTGGCATACCAACACAACACTTCACCATGATATTCAACACTTTTGTCATGATGACCTTGTTCAACGAATTGAATGCCAGGAAAATTCATGGTCAAAGAAATGTCTTCCAGGGAATATTCACTAACCCCATATTCTATTCAATTTGGATTGGAACCGCTTTGTCTCAAGTGAGTGTCACTTTCCAAAATTCAGAGGATGATGATGAGGACATGTGGCAGATTTAACGCTCCTGTAGATGAAACTCTCTGCGACAAAATTCATCAATGAAATGTCTTTTCTTTCTGTTCACATTAGATTGTTATCATTCAGTATGGTAAGATGGCATTTAGCACAAAGGCTCTCGATTTAGATCAGTGGATGTGGTGTCTGTTCTTCGGTTTTGGTACGCTACTGTGGGGCCAAGTAGTCACGACTGTTCCTACACGCAAACTTCCCAAGATATTCTCGTAAGTGATATTTTTTTTTTTCACTCCACGTTTTATACATTAGTTGTTGGGTCCCAATTACAGGTTGTCATGCAACAAACTAATCTGTGTGACAATAAACTCTTCTTACATTTTTTAAATATTTTTCTTTCAATGGATATTTTATTATTTAATATATTTTCTGCCTCAATGTTATGAAGTTCACTTGATGATTATTCGAGGGAAACTTGTAGGAGCGTTTACCACAATGTTCACTCAATTGTACCTCAAACATCAACGCTCATACAAGCTTCATTGAATATTCGTATACGTCGCTATGTACATAAACTTGACATGAATATGAAGTTAAAAATATGATAATATAACATTTTGTTGAATCAAGTAGTTGCAATTGGCAGACAGCATAGTGTTCCAAAGTCGGTATATACATTATTTTATTAGTTTTCATTAATTGTTCGTTAATGTCAAGCCAAGATTAAATAGCCACTCATAGCTTTCGTATTCCCCCTCTTTAGTACGTGGTAGAACGGCCTCTGCATGCTAGAATTAACCTACTCAACCGTTGAAAAAACGATAATGAATCCACACTAACCGATAATAACATTGAACCCAGAACGGGTATAGTGACAATTTAGGACTGCCTTCTCATGATCTGTTCTCACAATTATCCCTTCCAATCACGTTTAATGCAAATGCATATTCTAGCACAGCTATTTTATCCCTGAAGATAGTAAATTGAACCTTTTTTTGCTCAAACTCGTCACTTGGTGGCTCTTGTTTGATTATATTCACATTTAGAAAAGTTACCAGGGCAAAATAGTCGAGCAAATAATCGAAAAATTCCATTCATTCCCTATAATCCTATCCCCAGTGCCTGAACGTTTTGGTTAACACTGGATGTTGCATGTATACGACCGTTTAAATTAAAAGGAACTATGGAAAAAGTCATATATAAAAGACGACACGATAAAACAAATAAATCTAGATCTACGTACTTGTTTGTATTTCGTATGAGATACCGATGCAAAATCAGTGTTGTGATTCTGAGTCGAATACATATTCGAAATGAAAAAAAAAAAAAAAAAAAAAAAAAA